GTCTGCATTTCCTTACACATCACTGCGAACAATCTAGATGTCACGGTGCGTAATTGGTATGCCTCTCATTAACAAGAAAGCAGTTAATGAGGATGTTTAATGTCTTCAGAGAAAAGGGGAGATGAGAGAGAACAAGTTCATACGCCTACACCAACACAACAGTGTGAGAATTCATTCAAAATTACATGACCGAATTCAGGAGATTCACAAGAGCCATAATTACTCTAAAATCAATACACATTGTTGTAAGATAATGAAAATGGTCTGTTGAAGATAAAAAGCCAAAGGTGCAGATTATCTCCCCCAAATGGAAGGAAAAAAAACATCAATGCTCTGAATGGATCTGTAATGACCATTCTGAAAGACACTGTTTGTGTTTTCAGCTGATGTAAGTGTAATGGTGTTGTTTTGTCCGTGTTCCATAACACCTCGCTTTTCATGGCTCCTAATTAAGTAAAGACCAAAAGAGGTAGAAACCAACGTCACTGGGCCAATGGCGTAATTTAGGGCCAATTATCCAGGTGGGGGAGATGTGGATTGGAGAATGCCCCACTTACACAACCTTAAGTGCAACCATGTTTTGATTTGTCAACCATTTTAGCTCATTTTTAGCTCATATCGAGTCCTACTAATTTTACATGACAGCAACAAGACCAGAAAAAGTGGTTTGTAAAAAAAAAAAAAGATATTTTCTATAATAAATCATTCATTCAACACAATAATAATGTTCATCCCCCCCCCCAAACTGTTCCTGTCGTATTAATATCTTATTATAGAAAATACATAACATTATGGAAGTAAAATGATGTCACAATTTACAAAATCAAGACTTGTTGATCAAAAATGAAATGATCAATAAGTTAACAACACATGTTTTTACATTGCGTTAACTCATCAAAATTAGCTAACAGACAAACATGTTTCGTCACTATGTTGTTCTTCATGCAAAGAAGCTAAAGTCAACCTAATTTCTAATTTACCTTTGTAAAGAAACCTCATAGCTCATATTAATGCATTTGATTTTTAACAAATGATTCTTAAATGTTGAAATTAACGATTACTAAAGTTTTTTTTACAGTAAACATCACAACTTATTTCATCTTATTTAATCTTTACATACCGTAGAAGTGCAATTACACACAGAAACACAGCAGATTAATCTTTCATCACTGCTGGACTGACTATCATCTCGAAAATGAGGAGAAATGAGAGATATTATTTGCCCGACAGGCTTGTTATAAAGAGTAAATGAGAAAACATGTTAGCAATCATAGCGAGGAACACCCAGACATCATAAAACGCTTTTAAATCACGGGACCTGAAGTCAAGAGGCCAAGCACACGACTGTGTAGAGATGATATCGGGAAATCCACAAAGATTAGATAATAGCAGTCTAGTAATGGGAAATAATAATAGCAGAAAATGGATAATAAAACTCTGATGATAGATGCACAACAAAAAGCTTCTGAATGATTTTCACTTTTAAATAACAAATGAATGGCCATATAGATCAGCCATAACTAACTTAATATATTCCACTCCCTAAAATTATAGAATTTCAAACAAATATATGTGTAAATATATAACATAATGTGTAATATATATAATAAATCAACTTAATATAAAATTAATATAACATTAAATATTGTGTAAAATATATAAAAGCTATTTAAATGTATATAATTGTAAATTACATATGTTAATTTATAATATATTTGTACAAATGTACGTAGTAAAGTAATATAAAATAAATAATACAGTTATCCTTCTAAAATAATTATTTAATAATTATGTTTTTTTGCTGTATTTTATTTTATATTTTTATTCACATTTTATATTATATAATCTTATATATTATTAAGCACAAATCCATTATTTAGGCAAAGCAGTTAATATATATATATATATATATATATATATATATATACTTTATAATAAATATATGTATATAGGCAAAGAAGTTTATAAAAAGGTATTTCATAAAACGAATGTTAGATTTAAAATTAAATATATATTAGAATAAATGATTATGTAAAGTAATATAAAATAGTATATAATTCAAAATATATGCATTTTAAACAATTTGATATTTTTAATATGCACTTTATATATATTCCTATTTTTTATTTAGCACAAACTTGTTATTCAGGCAAAACATTGATTTAAAATGATTAAATGCAGTCTGTTTTTTGTTCATATTTTTGTGTATAAAGATTATAACTGTACAATTCTACATTCTTTAATGGCTGTGCTTCATTTATACAATGTTTTCAAGTAAGATCCCTATTTATTCTCCCTGAAACCATTCCCTACTGAAATAATACCGTCGCCATTATGTTGAGAAAAGCACAACAAGGTTTAAAACAATTTAAAAAAGGAAAGCTACTGTAGCATGTCAAAGTCGATTCCTTATTGTGAAAATGAAGTGGCTGAAAACAGTCAAACGTTGGGGCTCTTGATGTCTTGCCATTGCTTGAAGTTTGATCTTGCCGTACAGCTTTACAATGGATTATAACATGGCTAGAGGCCGTCGTCAGTGTAAACACACCATCTCAAACCTTTCCAGAAACAACTGATCAAATCGAGAACAAAAAAAAAAGATTCATAGCACACTGAAATCACATTATAAGCTGATAAGCAGACAAATTGTGTAGTTATTTTAACCTGTCAAAACTTTTTGTAGATGCGCAAATACAACTTTAACATATCATTCTAGTTTGACCAAAATCACTTTAAATTGACTTTATTCGTGTAATTTCATGCACAGAACTTTTATAGATATCATCAATTCTTCAAAATGGATTCTGACAGGAAAATTCTGTCTTCATGATTAAATTAACTAAAAATGAAACTCTTGCTGATGTAAACAATTCAAGTTTGGACAGTGTACAATAACAACAACAAATGATCTGTCTGGGCATCTTTGCCTCAGTGGACCATCAGATGTTTGTGGCCTCTACACATTTTTTGATATTTATATCAAAATATGATATGTGAATATGATACTTTTTATTGCTAAAGCTTTTCTTAGAACTAACTTCTTATTTCCGGGACGTTTGAGAAGTGACTCTTAACCAACTGGTCCTGAATGGATTTTTAGAGGACATAAAGTTCACACAGGTGTCCTAAAAAATTAGTTAAATTAATTGACTAACAAGTTGGACTTTTCACAAGAGAGCTTCCAAACACTTCTTAAATTATCATTTGAAACCTAAAAATGTATTTTTGTAAAATGACTAGCTTAATGAGACTTAATTTCATATTATGTTATATTGCAAAGACATTCATATATTTTTAACATGGCATTCGTGTCTAAATACTTTTTTGAGCCAAAGTAGTGCTGTATCCAGGGTATTTGATTTGTTCTAAACATTTTATTTTTATTTTATTATGCTGGTTGAAATTATGACAAAAGTATAATTGTTTATCCTTGAACAGTTGGGTGAATTATGTGAAATACTGTATGTGATGAATTACTTTGCTAACACTTTACAAGAAGGTTTTATTAGTTAACTAGTTAACATGAACTAGGTGTATCTCTTTTCCTCTTTGTTTTGGTTAATGCTCTATAAACAACCTTGAACATTTTTTATCAACTAACATTAAAAAAGTTAATAAATGCTGTTAAAAAAAATTCTTACATAAGTAAACAACAAACGAGACCTTATTGTGAAGTGTTACCATTCCTTTCAGATAACTTAAACGTCACCGCTTCGACGTACTCGTGCACGCGGTGAACTGAACTTGACTTGATTAAGACCATGCCAAAGTCCACGTGCAGTTCTCTGAGGGGGCGTGGCTCTTCCGCACTGATCACGTGCGTCATGCATGCTGTGTGTTTAGAACGCCTCAGGGAGAGCTCGCGACTGCTGTGACACCAAACGAAATATTTCATTAATAAGGGCCACTCAAGTTTGCTATTGTTTAGTATCAAAACACGCCATTAACATGCTGCTATAAAACCTTGCTTGCCCTGAAGGCGAAGGGTGTTGAGGCTTTGATCAAATGAGCTCAGACCAACTTAATCTACTGCGCTCTTACACTGATTAAACAAACACAGCCAGAGTGACGCTTTAGTTATTTCAGTCAGTGCTCAAGCTGGATGTGTAAATGCAAGTTTATGTAGTACGAGGTGTAACTTGTGGATATGTGCAATTACAAACATTTCATATTAGCATATTATCATATTTGGTGTATTTGGGGGTCATCAGAATCATACAATAAATATCTTGAATCTTTATTAACCCTTTAATATGCAAAGGAGGAATATAATAAATACATTAAGATTAATTTCTTAGACAGAGAGAGAGGCCTATATGTTTGTCTTCAGGATTGAAAGCCATTTAAACCACATGGTAGGCTTTAGAAATGACAATATAGGCATTTATGCTGCTAAACCTTGATGTAATGTATAAATCTTACATTAGTTGCTGAAAGATGCAATAAACAGTTACAATGGAGATTTTTGCATGAATTTATTGTACACGGTTCACACAACATACAGGTTAATTTCATTAACATGAACTCAATCGAAAAAGGAAATTAGAAAGTAAAGAACATAAAAAGATGGTATGCAAAGTAGTTTGTACATTAAAAACATAACATTAGTATGTTTTCAAGTTTGGATATGGAATTGACAAAGAAATAAAATTTATGAAATATTTAGATATTAATATAGACACAGCAACCCGATATAATAAGGCAACTGCTGTAATGTAATAATAGTTTTGCTAGTATATAATTTGCTAGTAGTGTCTTGTGTGTGTGTACTTTTTGCCTCAGTTCATAAACCAAACGTGCAGGGATTATATCATAATATCCTGTCAGAATATCTTGAGTGCAATATCGCAATATGTGGCCTTATACGTGTCATATTATGTGTCTCATATCGGAAAAAGTGCGGCTGTATTATTAGAACATGGGCAAAGTTGCTCTGTTAATAGGTCTCACTCACACACATCCATTCATCGGCTATTGACAGTGTCTCCCTGTTGAGTGGCTGCACCGGAGCTCCTCTCTAGCGCTGCCAGTGGACAATCAAACACACACACACCCACCTCTGTCTGTCTACACACTCGCCTGTTCAACATTTCTTACTTCTGCTAGAAAAATACAAAGCTACACCAAACCTCTGAGCTCTGAGTCGCATCGCGGCGCATCGTGATACACCAGCAGCGATAGCTCCAAAAGAAAGCACATCATGGAGTCCCCTCCAGATCCAGCGAGCGACCCGGGCAACGGCGTCTCAGAGCCGGTTACCCCGGTCAGGGAAACCCCGGTAAACCTGGAGACCCTCCGCAAAGCTGAGCACCAAGCCCCGGTGCGCAGGCAGAGCTGCTCCAGCACCAACAGAGGTGAGAGATATTGATTATTTGGAATCGTTACGACATTGATTCTCCGTAGTATTGATGAGCAGAAACTTCAAAGTGAATTCATTTCAACTTGAATGGTGCGCGCGCCGCGTAACAAAATGATTCCAGTGCGTTTGTTTCACTGGGAAAGCGCGTGGTGATTTTTTTTTTTTGTATTAAATATATTAGAATTGAGATGCTTTTATAGTTGCTGTTTTTGTAACCGAATGAGCCTGCCATTGTTGGATGCATGACAGCACTGACACTGAAGACTAAAAAAAATAAATAAATAAAAATCAGATTCGTTTATCAACACAATCTAATTTTAACAATACGAAAGTACATTTTGGATTTAAATAATGGTGTAAAACGACATAAAGACATGTCTAATGTAGCCTACATCATAACAAGTCGAACTTAAATGAGACTGAGGCAATGGTAGAATTTGACACGCGCACTCGCGCAGTGTTTTATTAGATGCATGTTTATTTTTTAAGCCTTATAAATATTTTTATGTTTCATTCATTGGTTGTCAGCATGCCTCTACTTGCCCATTGCACGTTTCAATCAATTTGCCTATCAATTTGCATGTAGCCTATAATATAGACTATGGCATTTAAACTTCCCGTTATGATTTAATATCTAATTTGAACGAATCTACGTCTAAATACTTGTGATTTACTGTACAGACAGTAGATTTCTGGCCACTCCCCCTTCAGTGTCTCTATTCAACTCATCCAAGTTCAGCGTTAAACGTGTCAGACAAAAAAAAGTGAACAAGTGACATGACATAGTGTAAAGAAACATTGTGAATCTGTTTTCGGGTTGTTATGTGTCGCGCTGAAGGGTATATTTAGAGGCTGATATGTTGAATGTGGAATGTAAGCTGGTTATGTAACAAGTTTAGCCATAAACAGAGCAGGGGAAGAAAAAAAACATTCAATATCTGTAACGTTGAAGTCTGTGGTTATTGTGTTTTGTATGATTACACTGTGAGAAAAAAAATGTGTGTAGCGATACTTTGCGTAATATCGGTTTATTAAACAAAATTCTATGCAAGTTCTGGATTCGAACTCGGGTCCACTTGCCTTCTAGACGAAAATGTTACCGCTGGACTGTGAAGCGAGTTGATCCTTTGCGTAGTTCCTTATGGATTAATTATTCATGTTTGACGTCAATAAGAAAATGTGCAGAAATGACGTTGCATAGCACAAATGAGTTTGATGCATGATTTAAATCCTAATGACTATAATAAACCACCCGTTCTCCTTTTCTAGCCGATTAAAATGACGTTGTTTCACCGGTTGTTGTTGCATGGTACTTTCCCAGCTCTGTGCTGTTATGTAATAGCAGTCAGAGAGGCAGGTATAGGGAGGCTCAGTTTTTGGCAAGTCTGTGGCATTTTATTTTAAAGTAGGAGATTGACTTTGAGACACTGCTAACCTGCTGACCTATATTCACCCCAGCCCATTACAGCAGGACTAAAGTGCATCTGGAAGGGAAAGGAAAAAGAAAGAATACCTTTCCTGTTATGTAACCCTTGTGTGAATGGACGATGAGAAACAGTGTTCTGTTTTCCTGTGTTAGAAATCCACGTTGCTTTCGCAAGACTTGTACAACAAACACAGGAGAGTCGATTGTACTGCGCGGTCATGATTTTTATAATCTCGGGTTAAATGACTAAAATTAAGTACGTGAGAGACAATTTGTACAATAGCATAATCGATAGCTACAGTCATACTTCAAATATGAATTTGTAAGCATTTATGTTAGTTGGAAGGAATGCAGTGGTTTTCTGATTCATCAAGCACGCACAATCACATCATTTTGGTAGTTGTAGTCCTTATTTATTAACCTTTTAGCGACTTGTTATTGAAGTTATTGTTATTCAAGTAATGTTATCCATACAACTTAATTGACTCAATTGACTTGATTGATCAAAATCCATCATTCTAAACCCATGGGACATTTCAGAGAGACGCATTTACAATAAACTGAACAAATATTGATAATGCTGGTAGTTGTATGTTGGCAAAAGTTTAGAAAAGTTGATACCCAGCTGTTAGTTCATATTATGAATTGTACTAATATATATATTTTTTATTATTGATCATTCATAATTGACTATTATTGAGTAATATATGAAGGCAATTTTTTTTCAGTGCGATAGGGCTACATGATTGACAAATTACACTGTATTCATCTAAATAAGTTAAGCAATTTGCAACTTTTTTTAATGTCATTTAAGTCGAAATGACTTTTTAAGGTAGTAAAATTTAAGGAAGCAAATTGCATAATTTCAATAAAACATGAGATCCAACATTCAAAAAATGTACTAAACACCTAAATTTAGTTGGTGACATTCAAAAATGTACATGTGACAAGTGTGATAACTCTTTATATTTAATCTTGGACTTTTGGCACCAAGTTTCATTGAATACATATTCATTTATTCAACTATACATTTTCATGCTGATTTAAAAGCTTATGGTGTCCTTGGACCATATACATTTGTTTTAGACTATACGTAAATATCAATGTCACATTCGAGTACATTTCAGCAGCTGGTACTGTTAATCATATTTTGGCTGCTTAAACACTTTTTTTGCGGTTTAGTCAGATCTCATAATTGCGCACAGTAGGACGCCACATGCCAAACTGGTTATTATTAGTTAACCACAAGCAGTTTGTGGTTTTGCTTGTGGTGTGTAAGAACGTTTTATTTGGCTTTCGCTGCATTGGCTGTGATTGTGGGTTTCGGAGGGCGATCTCAGCGCAGGGATGAATTAACCACTTTTCCTCGGATCTATGAAATGAAGCAAACCACATTGCTTTGATCTCTAGTGAAAAGGGAATATGACTGAGGCTTTTAGAAGATTCAGGATTACCGGTTCAATTTCTGATGAAAATATAGTAACTCTGTTATGTTTCTGTTAATTGAAGCTTCCCTTTATGCATTGTGTTATTAGATTATTCAAGTTCAAACATTTTCTGCCCCTTTTATTAAGAAAGTACGTAATACATTTTGAGGAAAGACAACCGTAATCCGCACTTGGCTTGGTTTTATGTCCAGATTTATATGTTTTGGTACCTTTTTGCCTGTGAGAGTTAAAAATAGTTTTGTAATGTTGACCTAAATGTCACCCAATAAACTAATGGACAAAAAAAATCTTCTAAAGTATTCTGCAAAACTATAGTGCGCTGTTCAGACGGCACTGTAAAATATAAAACGGTAAACTACTGGCAGCTTTGGTTGCCAGTATCATACCATAAAAACACTGTTTTATACTCTAGCTGACAATACGGTATTTAGCTGTTAATTTCAAAAACAGTAACACACCGTATTTTTACGGTATGATGCTGGCAACCACAGCTGCCAGTAGTTTACCGTTTTTTTTTTGTTTTGTTTTTTTGGATGTGAAGACATTTAGGAAGGAACATATTTTCCCTTTTCATTTGTTTTGGCCTTTGACGCAACAATTAAAACTTAATTTTTGCTTGATATTATTCTTTTTTACTTGTGCTTGTCCACATCCACAAAAGAACTCAGAACATTTGACCTTGCAGGAACTGAACGGCAAAGCTGAAGAGTGGCATGTGATGCTTTAACCCTGAGTGTTGACACTTCACGTTTTATTTAAGAGGAGACGATTGATGGCGGGTCAGATGAGCAAGCATACAAATGCTAAAAATTGTTTTACAGGAGTAGTTCACTTTAACATTTTTTTTGATAATTTACTCATCCCCATGTCATCCAAGATGTCCACGTCTTTCTTTCTTCAGTCGAAAAGAAATTAAGTTTTTTTGATGAAAACTTTCCAGGATTTTTCTCCTTATACTGGACTTCATTGGGAACTAAATGGTTTAAGATCCAAACGAGAGTTTCAGTGCAGCTTCAAAGGGCTTTAAACGATTCCAGACGATGAATAAGGGTCTTATCTAACGAAACGATTGCTCGTTTCAAAATAAATAAAAAACGTTAAGTTTTATAAGCACAAATGCTCGCTTCGCTCTGTTTTGTGATGCACGTTTGTGACTCTCCAGTTCGAACTTGTTGGAACTCAACGAACGAAATGAATGAAATGATTCGGAAAAAGATTCGTTCATTTTGATGAACAAGTTCAAACAGGAGAGTCACGGAGAGCATCACAGAACAGAGCAAGGCGATCATTTGTGCTTATAAAACTTAACGTTTTTTACTTATTTTTTAAATGAGCGATCGTTTCGCTTGATAAGACACTTATTCATCGTTTGGAATCATTTAAAGCCCTTTGAAGCTGAACTGAAACATTGGTTCCCAATGAAGTCCATTATATGGAGAAAAATCCTGGAATGTTTTCATCTAAAACCTAAATTTCTTTCCGACTGAAGAAAGAAAGACGTGGACATCTTGGAGTAAATTATCAGCAAAAGTTTTTTTTTTTTAAAGTGAACTAATCCTTTAAGCTGAAATCTATCTTAAACAGAGGGTGTTATATAACTCTATGTGACATCTTTAATGGTCATCTGTTATCAGCTATATACTGTAGGTTCAAGCTTGGTCTTTTGCTTCCAGTTAAATCTCATGTGTAAGTAAAATTGGTTATTTAATGTAAAAAAAGTGTAGGACTTGCTTTTATCAATTGGGTATTGTTTGAATTGTGTGTCTTAAAGGGTTAATTCAGCCAAAATTAAAAAATTAGCCCATAATTTACTCACCCTCAAGCCATCCTACGTAGGTGTATACAACTTTTTTTCATATGACTGGCTCTTCCAAGCTTTATAATGGGAGATTTTGAGATTTCGAAGCCCAAAAAAGTGCATCCATCCATCATAAAAGTAACCCATATGGCTCCAGGGGGTTATTAAAGGCCTTCTGAAGCAGAGCGATGCGTTTTTGTCTTTTCAGCATTGATAAGAATAATGTTTCTTGAGCAGCAAATCAGCATATTAGAATGATTTCAGAAGGATCATGTGACACTGAAGACTGGAGTAATGATGCTGAAAATACAGCTTTACCATCA